GTGAGTACAAAATAAGGGTGTCCAGGGACTCCAGGGGATTAATCGTCAAATTAATCATTATCGGCTAAATACCACAATTAATCGTGATCAATTTTTTTTGCAAATATTGCCCAACCCTAGTATATTGACACTATATAATTCAATGAAACTGCCTGCGCCACTTTCTTTGGCAGCTACAATAGCTGCAGGGAAACTGATTTTTCACAGCTCTTGGAAGAAAAAGTGTTTGAGTCTGTTAGTGCATGGTTTTAAGTCTGCTGGAGGGGAGGCTTGTGAATTCAAATGTCTTGGYTGGGTGGGCTCATTGTGAGTCTTTGTGGCCCGCTGGAGCAGGAAGCTTGAGTAGAACTCGTCCAGGCATGGCAGTGGGGAGTTAACGACCCACTGAGCTGTTTAATGACCTACTGCAGCTACTTTTTCTTTTGCAGCTGGAATACCACACCATGCATCTGTATGTCAGGACACTATGATGCAGTGGTAAAGGTTTTTCATCAGAGGTGAGGGAACTTCGTTCTTCCTCTAGTTCAAAGAAAGTTAAGACATTGCAGAGCTCTTTAGATGACGTGAGTTGTGTTATTCGTCCAGGCCAGAGCCTCTCAGGTGTGAAGTTCCAGAAACCTGAAGTCTGTAACTTGCTTCATCTTTTCTCCATTGACCTGTAATCCCYTGTACATTGTGGTCCTCACCTTCCAGAAATCAAAGATCATTCCTTTGGTTTTCSTAGGGTTGAGGTTGTCTTTGTATCTGAACACCTGTGTCTGATTAGTCCCACCATAGTTTTATCAGTAAATTTGAAGAGTGGGTTAGAGCTGTGGGTTGTGTCACAATGGTGAGTGTACATCACAAACAAGATGGTCGATTGTGGAGGTGCCTATCATGACYCGTAGAGGCCTGTTGTTGACAAAGTTCTTGACCCACGAAGAAATGGGGGTTCCAAATAGCAYTGTCTGCAGTTTAGGGTTGGGCATAATCGTATCGTGTGCAATTAATCGTCAGAAAAACATGTATCGATTATTTTTTGGCACTTGACAATTAATACGATTAGTGCCAGCAGGCAGACTGACTGGAGAAATCTCCAGTCAGTTTCTGCTTCAAATATGACGAACATAAAAAAATAAAGTTCTGTAATTTATTTATCAACACAATTTAAAATGTGAAGCGTGAAGTCTGTAATTTTGACACAGTTTAGAACAGATTTATATGAAGAGCAAATCTTTCCCACTAAATTGGTCATGTGACCAGGACATAATGGTGTCCAGGGACTCCAGGGGATTAATAATCAAATTAATCATTATCAGCTAAATACCACAATTAATCATGATTTTTTTTGCCAATATTGCCCAGCCCTACTGCAGTTGGTAACCAGTCTGCTGCGGAACACTGAGTTGGATGCTGAATCAACAAACAGCATCGTGATTTGCATGTTGGGGTCTTCCAGATGACTGGGGGCACCATGTGCAGGGTTCTGGGGATGGGGTTGGATGGAGACCTGTTTGGATCTATAGTGAAACTAATGTTGATCAAGTCCAGGTGTAATGTGGGACTTGTTACGCTGCAGTACCAGTCTTTCCATGCACTTCATGATTACTGGGGTCATGGCCACAGGCTTGTGACCATGACCATGTCAGATCTGTCATGGTTTTGGGTACAGGAATTTTAATGGTAGTTTTCTTTATTTTGGTTCTTAAAAATACAATAAACCAAAGTTCATGTCATAAATGTTATGAGTGGATCAGTTAATATATGCAAGTAAAGAGGGATCAGGAGTCTCATTTATAAAGGATTGCGTGGAAACCATTCTAAAAGTGAACATCTGGCCAAAAGGTGGAAATGGCGTACGCCCAAAAAAATTCAGATATATAAAACCGTGCGTACGCATGTTTCTGCGCACCTTTCCTTTATAAATCACAGCCACACGTCAGTTTGCGCACGAGGTCCCGCCTCAGGTTCTACCCTCTACACCAGTGTTTCCCAAAGTTGGGGTCGGGACCCAAAGTGGGGTCCCGAAACATCAAGG